TTTTTTTTTTTTTTTTTTTTTTTAACTCTACAGAGATTGTATATGCTCTTTTAGTGTGTTGACATTTGATAGAATAAACCCGGTAAGAGGGTTAAGTCATTGAAGTGTTAGCTTTTGCAGAATTTTCTAATGCATATTCTCTAGTCTTTGGCTTGGTAAAGTTTCAGTGTGGTGGAACAAAGCAAGTACAAAATGCAAAAGGAAAGGGAATCTTGTTCCTTTAAAACTCTCTCCAGAAGAATAACTCAGAAAAGGAGGGTGAGAATGGTTGCATCACTTGAAGACATAATCAGTGTCACTGAACTGTACGTGTAGAAATTGTTGACTTGGTGTAGGTTTTGCTGTTTACACTTTCAACAACAACGACATAAAGTAAATTATTAAAACAAAACAAAACAAAACTCTCTCGTGACTTTCTAACGAGACTCTTGCTTACCCAGGGGAGGGTTGGCGTTACCTCTCCTGAGAGAGGTAAACGTGACTGATGTTGTAAGGCCAAGCTTGAGAGATAGCAAACATTACATAAATCTTCACCAATACAGCTGAAGGCAGGTTTACAAGATAGCACAATAATCTTTAAAAAGAAGATGGAGGAGGAGGAGATTTCAGAGGAAAATGGAATTTTAACCTTAAAAATATACCTTATTTCCTCCTGAGTAGTGGTGTGAATTTCTGAAAGTAGTAGAAGACACATCTTCTGATTTCCACTAGAACGATCTCCCAGGCACACTGACTGTATTTTTTATCTTTCAGGAAATTGCCTATCCTGTTGAAATATCTCCTCAGTTCCAGGTTGCTCAGCAGGGGCTCTCTAGCTCCTGACCAGATCTTCTCTTCCATCTGTTTCATGTCTTCACTTTCTTTTTCCTCTTCTTCCAAGCATTGTTCCAGATACTCCATTTGCTGATTAAGTCCCATTTGGATTTCCATCAGATATTTCTCTTCCCAAGCAGACTTGTAGGTGTGTTGACTGAAGACGTTGAATACCTGTGAGGATATTTCATAGAAGACCTTCTTGATGTCCCTTTTCACAGGCTGGGTGTGTGATAAGATCTCTTGAGGCAACTCAAAGGCTTTCTTTTCTTGTAGACATTCTATAGGAAATGGTTTGCTCCTATTGCTCAGAAGTTTCAGATTTTGCCAGGTGACTGTACTCAGGTGAACATTCAGCAAGGCACAGTTCTGAGAGAGGATGCCGGTGATGAACAGACCCACAAGGCATGCAGGCCACAAACATTTTTGAATCACATCAGGCTTGGCGCTCATTTCCCGCTCCCCCAGCTTAAAAATTCACAAGACTCAAAGTTGACAGTGATACTTTAGGTCTTATGTACTCCTTCCTGTGCCTTTTATACACCTGAATATCTTCAGTGGGTGGAGTTTTCTCATTCGTCATTTTACCATTCTCAGGGTTGTGGCCCTTTTCCTTTGCTTCTGAGGCTTTTTTTGTTTGACTTTGGGTGATTACAACAACTTTGGAAATGTTACGGGTTTTTTTTTTTCTTTAAGAAAAGTATGCTAAGCATTACCATTAAGTTACCTTAGATGCCTAGATGATCCATCCCAGCGCTATGGAATGATCATAACAAGACTGATGCAGTCTTTCAGAAAGAACTGAAAGCTGTAACTCTAGGCACTCACTCACCCAATTTTACTACATAAGAGAGAGTGACCCTTCATGAAAATTTTTTTTTTTTTGGTACCTGGCATTATAGTCAAAACATCCTCTCTCATTGAGTTTAGTTATAGACACCAACCAAATGGCTATGATTACTTGATTGCAAGGTCATCAGAGCATAGAATAGGTTAGGTTTTTCTGATCTTGTTAAATTAAGCTTCTATATTTGGAAATTTTCTCCTTTTATTTGCTTTTTCTGGATCTTAGAAAAGATGAAGAAAAGAGAGTTTTTCAATTATCATGGCACTTATCAAATAGAAGATTAAGCTGGCTTGGTTTTCTGGTGCCATTAGAAAATGCTGACACTCTCCAACAATCCCTTCCTTGAGTTAAAACTGAACCAGTGCTTCCTATCCTCATTTATCATTTCACACACCTCTGATATCTTTCTTAGAAGTTCTTCATGGGGTTGTATATTTGGGAATATTTATCTGTTTCATTTATTTCACTCTTGTAATATCATACGTTTTCTATTCTTTTAGATAAGTATTAGTTTAGACAGTATTTTAAACTTAGTTTTTAGTATTAGTTTAGTATTAGTTAAGTGTTGCTTTAGACAGCATTTTTAGTTTAGATTGTATTTTAAAAATAGTCTTACTTAGAGGTTCTGGACTCTAAGTTTTTGTTCTTTTCTGTGTTTGTTTTTCATTGAGGAGGTTTCTGAGTAGGTGGCCACTCATTTTAGCTGAGCTGATTCACACCAAGACCAATATTAGGGTGGTGATGATAGCTATCTGCCATTTGTGGTTTTCACTTTGTTTGACCAAATAACCTTCGTCTGGTTTTGGTCAAGGCAAACGGATTCCTTTCTCTAGGAAAGTAAAATAGATGCCATTAAAGAAGGCTAACTTATTTGATCATCTTAAAATGAGAAATACATTCATTTTCAATAAAGTCATCTTAGAATGTTAAGTAATCACAGTCTCAAAAATACGGTAGACTTTGATTGAAATTTGGCTTGACAAATTCTTGTCTAAATTAGTTGGCTGCACCAAAGGCTACTTTTGTACAAGGGAGATTTCTTAAAATCCTGACTTTTTGAACTGGTTTCCTTGAAAAGGAAACTTGTCACATATGTTACTCTATATGTTCTATCTATGTAAAGGAGCCCTGGTGGGGCAGTGCTTTTGGTTAGCAGTTTGAATCCACCAACTACTCCATGGAGACCCTATGGGGCAGTTCTACTCTGTCCTATAAGGGTTGCTATGAGTCAGAATCATGGGTTTTGTTTATCTATATAAAATCTGATTTCACAGATATAGGTTTCTTAAATGAGTGAACAAATAATTAGGAAAATGGACGCTTTCATGTAATTTAATAAGATTATAAATTGACACAACCTTCGTAGAAAGCACAACGGTAATATGCATCAAAAGCCTTAAAAATATACATCTTCTTTGACTCTGCAATTCTCCTTCCAGGAATTTATCTCCAAGAAATAATGATAGGTGTCCTTAAAGACTTAGCCGTCAGGAAGTTTATCACAGCAGAAAACTGAAAACACACCGACTGCTCTGACAGGGTCCCGGACAGAGCTGGAGAAAAATGTAGCACAAAATTCTAACTCACACACAAAAAAAGACCAGACTTACTGGTCTGACAGAGACTGGAAAAAACCCGAGAGTATGGCCCCCAAACACCTTTTTAGCTCAGTAATGAAGTCACTCCGGAGGTTCACCTTTCAGCCAAAGGTTAGACAGGGCCATAAAACAAAACAAGACTAAACGGGCACACCAGCCCAGGGGCAAGGATGAGAAGGCAGGAGGGGACAGGAAAGCTGGTAATAGGGAGCCCAAGGTCGAGAAGGGGAGAGTGTTGACATGTGGGATTGGCAACTAATGTCACAAAACAATATGGGTACTAATTGTTTAATGAGAAGCTAGTTTGTTATGTAAACTTTCATCTAAAGTACAATAAAAAAAAAGACTTAAAAAATTATTTAAAAAAAACCTGAAAACAATTTAAATGTTCAACAGTGGGGACTTGGGTAAGTAAGCCATCAGTAGAAAACTGATGTGTAAGCATTAAAATGTATGTTGTGGGAATATACTGTATTTGGTCACTTGTGGTTTAAAAGTGAAGTTACTTGCTACCATCTAGAGTCTGATACGATTTTTGCAAAACATAGATATATGCATATATGTACAGAAAAAAAATCTAGAAGTGTATATACTAAAATATTGAGTCATTATTTCTGACTGGAAAAATAATGGATGATTTTTATTTTTGTATTTTTATTTGTCTAGATTTTTAAAAGTATTCTGTAGTCAGCAATTATTTCTTATTTAATAATGCAAAACTTTTAAAAGAAGATTTAAAAAAAAGAAGATTATACATGTGAAATAGGATCAATACTACTTTATTTACTTAAATATTTCCACTCTAGGGTACTTCAACAGTGAATGTGAATTTTTCCTTAAGGCTCAGTTCCAATTCTGTTGATATGAATACAACAGAGTATATGGGAATTCAATGTACTAATCTTGCAACTTTTTTGTAAGTTTTCTTTTTCTTTTTTTCCAAAACATACACAGAGGGTTTATAAAGTGCAAAGCATTGTGCTAGCCTTTGTGGAGGATCCAAGAATAACAAAGTTCCTGTTCTAACTAAAGGAGCCCTGGTGGTGCAGTGATTAAGAGCTCGGCTGCTAACCAAAAGGTCTGTAGTTCAAATCTACCAGCTGCCCCTTGGAAATCCTATGGGGCAGTTCTACTCTGTCCTATAGGGTCACTATAAGTCGGAATGGACTTGATGTCAATGGGTTTGGTTTGGGTTTTATTCTAACTAATAGAATTGAAAAACCTAGTAGGGAAAACAGACATGTAATCAGCTAATTCCATTATGCCTTAACCCATTTAGTACAGGAACAGGAACAACTCTGAAGGCCATACTTTCTTCTTACATAACTTTCACACCTTTTTCTACCTAAACCTTTTTAACCATCCCACTTAGAACTGCTTGCTTCTATTTTTGGACTTTTACAATGCTTTGTCCACTACCACCTCCCCCCCACCGCCCACCCCCTTAATTATGGCTTTCTTTATACATAATTGCATAAGTGTTGATCTCCCAATTTTAGGTGCTCCCCTCAACCCACCCATGATACCTAGCTTACCTTTTACTTGCTTGAGACAGTTCAGTCATACTAAGAAGGCTAAGAGATCACTCAGTTGCATTACTATGCCAAAAGGTTCTAGTCATAGGCAGTGGAGGTGGCTGCAGATCTGACTGTTATCAACCATCCTTATGTTTTCTGTTTTTTCTGCCATACAGTTTTGTCATTTTAACCCTTTCCAGCTTCCTCCCTCTACTGTCATTCAATACCATATCCTCATTTATTCAAAACTATACTTTAGTGTTTTTATTGTTGTTGTTAGTTGCCATCGAGTCAGTTGCAAATTTTGGAGACCTTACGTATAGTAGAATGAACTGTTGCCTGGTCCTGTACCACCTTCATGATTGTTGGCATGTTTGAGTCCATTGTTACTGCTATTTGTGCCATTTCATTGAGAGTTTCCCTTATTTTCATTGGCCCTCTACTTTACCAAACATGATGTTCTTTTCTAGTGATTGGTCTTTCCTGATGTCATGTCCAAAGTAAGAGAGTTGAAGTCTCACCATTCTCTTTTCTAAGAAGCATTCTGGTTGTATTTCTTCTAAGACTAATTTGTTCCTTCTCTTGGCAGTCTGCAGTATATTCAATATTCTTCACCAACATCATACTTAGAATACATCAATTCTTCTTTTCTCTTACTTTTTTCCTATTCAACTTTTGCATGCATATGAGGCAATTGAAAAGACCATGACTTGGATCAACACACCTTAGTCATCAAAGTGGCATCTTTGCTTTTCTTAAACTTTAAAGAGGTCTTTTGCAGCAGCTGCCCTGTGCCAATCACTGGACTAGGTCCTGAAGAAAGCAGAATAAGGTATAGGCCATGATTTCAAGGAGCCCATGGTGGAAAAAGCAAGCATGTTCTGAGTGTTTTAGTTAGAAGGAGTAATATTTAGGACTTCCCTATAACATCACCTCATTCCCCATTTGCTATAAATGTTAATTGATGCTGATGTTAATCATATTCATGACAAAGGTAGAAGGAAACATGGTTGGCGTGTATTCCTGCCCCTCTTCCACCATTAGGATTGCCTAATTTAGCAAATAAAAATACAGAACATACTTTTATTTGTCCCATGCAATATTTGGGACATACTTATGCTAAAACAATTCATAGTTCATCTGAAATTAAAATTTAACTGAACATCCTGTATTTTATCTGGCAACCTTATCCACCATGCAAGCTCCCATTGACTTCTCAGAACAGAGCTCAGACCTGACACTCTGCTCCCTCTCTACCTTGTGCAGCCTTCAGTAGAATTCTATTGTATTTCTCTGTGTTGGGTTTACTTGTGTGTATATCCCTACTAACAGTGTACACTATGAGGAGGGTACCTGCCATACTAAAACAAAATAGTACACACATACACACACACATGTGCACTCATACTTAATTGCTCTGATTAGAAGCATCATTAGTCATTTGTCATGCTATGCTGTCTGAATGTATCTTAAAATTCATTCAGAAACTTGAAAACAATGACCATGTGAGAAAACATTTTTCTCTCTAAAGTTATCTATCACAACTGCTCAGTATATTTTTATGGGATATACATTGAGATGGATAACATGTTTT